TTATACCAGGGTGATGTTAGATGCAATTAAATAAAATTAATTAATTAATTAACCTTGACCGAGAGAAATACGTTAGCAACAGCAGTTGATTACATGCATATAATATTGTGTATTTATTCATGTAAACAGCAAGAGTCACATTTTTTAAGCGCATTGCTTGGTGTAATAAAGTTGGTAGGCTAATGTTGGTTAACCTAAGAAATGATTGTGTGTGCAGAGTTGTTACTGTCAACGCTATATTTTTAATATTAAATTAATATTTAATGTGGTTTCCACCGTGATTAACCAAGCTGTTCCCCCTTTCAACCAGCAGGTGGCAGGATTTAACTGAAGGCCTGTACTGTGTCTTTATAAAACGTTTTGAATCCAGATTACTTATATAGATGTATTTATTGTTGCTCATTTCATTTGTTTTTGATATCTATGTTTTATTTGCAGCCTAGTTATCATCTACATCATTCACCCTCAGCCCAGAGTTAAACCTGCATGCCCTTCTGTTCTAACCTAAATGTACAACCTATGGCTGCAGAACATTGACTGTGAATTTTGTGATTTTACGAGGTCCTCAAAACAAAGTCCAAATACGTAATTACATTGTTTAAAAAACAGGCTATCAACACTGAGAATGTCTTCTCAGGACGTCAGTCAGGCTTCTGAGGCCACATTTAAAATGTTCTGGCTGAAATTGTACAACTGTATGCTAACAAATACAAACAAAAAACAAAGTTAAAATTCAAACAAAGACTTTGGCTTTTTAGTTGAACTTAAACAAGTAAAAACAAACTGGCATTTATGTATATACTAAAAACACACAGGCCTAGATGAGGGACACCTTAAAAACATTGCTGGGCCTCAGCAAGTACAGTATGCCCGCACCTACAAAGTCAGCATTTAAACTTAAAAAAAAAAAAAAATACAGGCTGTTAATTTTCCCCCTGACCCCCACATTGTCAGAAACCTGCTCTAGCCCAACATCACCAGAGATGCAAACTCTTTCACCATTACTTATTACCAAGGTTTACCCTCTCTTAATACCCATCCTACCATATCCCTGGCTGCCCATACAACCCTGAGTCTTTATTACCATGCCCAAAAGTCCACTCCTCTAATGCACTCTACCCAACGCTCTAAGCGACCTGTTCTTATAGCCTTTAGCCATATTATTATCTTACTCCTCCTGTACTCCTCAGGGGATGTGGAGTTAAACCCAGGCCATGTAACCCCCAGTGCTATACCTACGCCCCAGCTAACATTTGTTGATTTTCTGCAACCATAAAAGTCTAGGTTTCCTGCAAATTAATATTTGTTGTCTGCTCCCTAAATTTGATTCATTCAACGCCCTCGCACAGTCAGCTAACCCCTATATCCTGGTCGTTTCTGAATCTTGTCTTAGGAACTCCACCTAAGTATTTATATCCAACTATAACATCTTTCGTCAAGATAGAACGGGGAAGAGGTTGCAATCCATTGCAGAGATAGCTTACAGAGCTCAGTCATGCTGGACAGGTCTATACCCAAACAGTTTGAATCTTTCTAGAAATAAGTCTCTCACTGTGGTTGTCTGCTACAGACCCCCCTCAGCCCCAAGTAGTACCATTTGCTAACTGATTGCCCCCCATCTATCCTCTGAGTTTCTACTGTTAGGAGACTTAAACTGAGATACCACCTCCTTCTTTCAAAGCTTGATGCCCTCAACCTCAGATTATCACTGAACCCACCAGGTACACCCTCAAACCTGTGATCAAAGGCACCCTCAGTGGGGGGTCTGGGGTTCCTCCCCCAGAAGATTTTGAGAATTAAATACTTATTTTCCTGCATTCTGGAGACATTTTCTGCACCAATCTATGGAGTAAATGTCTTTATTTATATGAATGGCAGCACAAAATTCAGCAGGTGACAATTCAAAATATAACAATAAAATGCAGTAAAATCAGTAGCTTTTTTTTGTGGCTTAAGTAATTTTCTTGGACAATGTACATTTGTTTCTTCTAATATTTAAATTGCATTGCATGTTTTCTTATTGTGCAAATAAACAAATAATTTTCACTTGTTTCTTGTTCTAAGCTATTTTTCAGAACATATTTTAACCAATTTCGCTTTCAGAAAGTGATGGGGACATATTCCCAGCGACCATAGTGTAAATGACACCAATGGTAATAAATTTGTAACATTTTTTCTATGTGACTGGCACACAATAGTTTTTTACATTACATTTACATAATTCTTTACATTTACTCATTTGGCAGACGCTTTTATCTTACTTACATTTGAGAAACAACATACAATCATTTACAGAGCATAAAATACAGCACAAGCTCTACAACTGACAATACATATTAATAAAAGCAGCAATAAATTCTAGTAAGCGCTAATAGCACATATCGCATCAGTGGGGTAAATACTTAGGGAAAGAAGTTAGAGTTAACAAAAAGTGCAATCATTACAAGGTAATTGTAGGAAATAGAGGAGGAAGATCACAGGAAGTGCATGTTAGATGTTAGGAGTTAGAGGTGTTATAAGAGGAAGTGTTCTCGGAAGAGATGAGTTTTCAAGAGCTTCTTGAAATTAGAGAGGGCTCTGCTCTGATGGCGTGTGGTAGCTTGTTCCACCATCGTGGTGTCACAGATTCCAACAGCCGGGACCGGGATTGCTTTGTGTGCTTTGGCCATCCCTTCACACAAAGTAATCCCAGTTCCACAGTGCCATCCGTTTTATTACAGGGGCCCCATTTAATACCCACCACTGCGACCTCTACGCATTAGTTGGCTGGCCGTCGTTACGCACTCGACGCCTAACTCACTGGTACCAACTTATTTACAAGTGCTTGTTAGGCAAAGCCCCCTATATCTACGCTCACTGTTGTCTATATCATTACCCACCCGCAGCCTCCGCTCGAGCAAGTACATCTCTCTGGTCACCCCAAAATCCCACACCACCTTCAGCCGCCACTCCTTCCAGTTCTCCGCTGCCAATGACTGGAATTAGTTACAAAAACCCCTCAAGTTACAGACAACAGCAAATTTCTGTATGCTGATTTTTGTTAAGCCACGCTAAGAAATGTGTCATTTGCATATTAAAATCACAAAATAAATCGAGCCCCTTCAGACCGTCTGACAGACACAGAGCTTGTATGGGACTGTACTTCATCAGAGGTACAGGTACAGGTATATATACAGGTATCGCGGTCAGGTGTGTCATGTTATTCTCTTGCTATGTTATTCTCGGCGGACTGTTAACTGTTTGTGTAGCAAATACATTGATTAGACACTGACCGACAACATTTACATATAAATGTTTTGATTCCTACTTTGCTGGGGACAGTTCAGCAGTCTCTGACAAGAGCTGAAGCTGTGAGCAATGCATTCTCCCGCTCTCTCTCTCTAAGTGCAGGCAGGCTTCAAACAAAATGTAGTAATGTTATTTTGAGTAGCCAGTGTTCTCCAAAGACCTGCGAGACAGGCTGCGTCATGAGGATTATTGCATTTTTGCATTGCGTTTTTATGTTGTTGAGTTACATTCTGTGAGTGTTGGCCTGTTTAAACCAACTAAAAGTTTCCTGATTCACTTTATACCACAAAACCACTATTGGTAATAAAATAACTGCCTCTCCGTCTCAAAGTCCTAAGCTGAATTTCAGTCGCAGTACAATCCCTCAGGAGCCTGGCATCGAAAGCAGAATGCCTCAGGAGGCCGGCAGAAACCCTGTGGAGGTGGGGCAGGAGGCCAGCGACATGACTTAAGAACAGGGCCAGTGTCTGATGGCTGGAGTCTGAGACAAGAGGCTGGCGGCATGGCAACTTCCCTGAAGGCTTGCTACAGGGCAGCAGGTCTGGAGGCTGGCTGGATAAACCGGAGGAGATTGCTGAAGCTCAGAGAGTCAGGAGATTGTTGCAGCAGCTCAAGGGAGGCCAGAGGTAGTTTTGGCTCAGTGACGTGCAGGAGGTTGCTGCAGCTCAGCAGAGTCAGGTAGTAGCAGCCATCCAAAAAATTCAGGGTTTGCTCCAGCTCAGCAGTGACAGCAAGCTGCTGTAGCTCAGCAGGAAGAGGAAACTGCAGTTCTGGCTCAGGGAATTGCTGCGGCACTGGAGATGAAGTCATAAGGTGTTGACTGCTTCAGCAGGCAGAGGAGTTGGCTGGTCCGTCGTTTGGCCATGAGGAGTAGAAGTCTGCCAGGCCACCTACTGGAAATGAGGAGGAGGAGTTGGCTAGGCGGCTGACTGGGCACCAGGAACAGATGTATGGCAAGGGCCCAGGGCAAGCCAGGAGCAGGGTAGAAAAATATCTAGGGAACTGGGTAACAAAGTCTCTGGAGAGCCAGACAGCTGAAACTTAGTGAAGCTGGGGGTCTCTGGAGTCTTGATCAGTTGAGTCTGCGGGATGCTATCCAGCTGGATCTCTGGTGAGTTGGATAGCAGTCTCTGTGAAGCTGGCTAGCTGGGTCTCCGGGCCCTGAACTGGCAGGGAGTCCGAATTGCTGAACAGCTGAATAGAGTTGGCATGCAAAGAGTCTGTGGCATTGGACAGCACAGTATAAACAAGAGGTGGGAAGTAATTACAATTACTCTCGTTACTGTAATTGAGTAGCATTTTTGTGTGTAAGTATTTTTTAAAATCTGTAATTTTACTTTTACTTAAGTTGTTATGTTTTGTTTAAAGTAGGCCTGTTGTACTTCGCTACATTTTCAATCACATCCGTTACTGAGTAAAGGAAAAACTCGCGACCACTTTGTGTGCAAGAGTGCATTGAACAACTTTATCATGATGCAGTACGAGCTGTGAAAAATGCTATTTTAAGTTAGTGTTAATGCAAACCGAACACTTCCTGCTGCTGCAGCTTCACATTAGATGCAATTAACTGGCGAAACAAGAGTTGACTTTTATTGTGAAGACGTCACAGGAAGTGCAATCTGTGTGTAAGTGAGATCAGCGCTGACCGCTGTCGTGCAGACCGCTACAATGCGTCTACACAACAAGATAACCGTCATTTTCAACAGTTTTCAGACAGCGGACCAGTTTGAAATATTGCAGTGGGTAATGCAACAGTCAGGAGCAGCAGACACAGTGAGCTGTTTGATAAAGAGCTGCAGACGACAGACTGCATCCTTCCACCTCCTCAGACAGGTAAGTTAACCAACTCCTTTCACTTTCGCTGTTCGCAGACTCATGCTGTGTGCAGCATAAAGTCAGCTCACATAATTATGAAAAATACCAATAACTGCCCGACAATAGTTTGTTTAGCTGCCCCAGACAGCTGTGCCCTGTGGTATTAAAAGGCATCTGCTGTTACCACCAGTAGCCTAACTAATGTTACAATGACAGTGCAGCTGCATAGCTTCAAACATGGTTAATTAATGCCAGTCAGAGTTACATTTACAATGACAGATTTTAACCATCACTCGTCAGTGAACAGCCTCCTTGGCTGCGGTCTGAGAGCATTTTCTAGTTTAGCAGGCCTATGTAGATTTATCATTATGGATTTAGGCCTAACATGTTTTTAAGATTCTGTTCACACTGAAATAAGCTAATAAAAACGTTCATTTTGCAAAAGTTGAACATATTAAACAGTAATATGGCAATTACAAATGTTTTTGAAAAATGTGTGGCCTTGAACAAATGTAGTCCTTGATGTGGAGGTCAGTTAAATAATAGCCTACTTCCATTGGTGGTTAAAAATAAGTTTTTGTAGTTTAGTAAGATGCTTTGCTCCAAATAGCCAAAAAGACATTGGTGCATGACAGTTTTGGTTGGCATTAGCAACTTGCTGGTAACTAGTTATTTATTATACTAATGCTTATGATATCCCATTAAAATGACCACCTGATTGAATGTAAAAAGGGATATGACTTCATGTATAGTCTAGTGTTTCCTGTTTTCCCAGTCCAGTGCGGTCTGCCAGAGTCTAATTTGTGCCGCCACAGTTTCCTGATGAAACAAAAAGATTCTCAAACTTCTCATTATAACACTTCGTTTTTCGCCATTGATTTGGCAAAGTATCTGTCAAACAAACTAAAATTGAAAGTGCCATATGGCTTTCTTCCCTTATCAAATCGCAAAAGACTGCAATTTAATTAAATAAGTACATGTATAAATAAGATATTCAATCAATATAGATAAGTTATTTTAGGAGGTTAAAAAAGTAACTTTTACTCTGAGTAAATTTTAAATTAGCTACTTTTTACTTTTACTTGAGCAGATTTTTATACCGGTAATTTTACTTCATCAAAGTTCATCAAAGTAGTTGTTCCTTCACTTAAGAAGAATATTTTTGTACTCTTTCCACCTCTGGTTTAGACCTACTAAAGGGATAAACCACTATTGGGAGGCTCAGGGGACAAAATTAAATTAGTTATTACATTAGTGTAATTTGGTTAAAGAGATAGTTAAGAGATGGTAAGTCTTTCCTACCTACAGTGAAAAACAATAAAGGACAGAGCTCTTTTTATGTATTTGGTGTATTCTGAAGTTATGTCAAACAGCAATATTATCTCGAGTGTGTATGTGATCAAATAACATAATCCTGATCACTTAGGCATCTGGACTTTAATAACTAACCAAGTAAATTAAAGGGAAGTAAGGTGGCGCCTTTTTCCAAGCTTTGTCTGAGGGGAGGCCCACAGTCTTGGACCTAGGTTAAAAATTTTTATTGAGCGTGTAATGGAAAATGTATTTACTTTTACTTCCCTATCTCTGTTAAAGTGTTAGACAAGTGATAGAAGCATTGGTTTCAGTTCTTTCACACCATGCTTTAGGGTGAGAAAAACACTGGGGAGGGAGGCCGGGGTGCAGCAATTCAGAGTAAACAGGAACTTACACCCTTGCTTAGTTTTTAGTTTTTAATTTTTATTTGATACATATCACTAGTTTATTTACGATGACACCTCCATTTAAGAAGATCTCTTCCCCTGCTTGCCTTGTAACCACGAAACTCAAATTCCACAAAAACAGCAAATCCTTAAATTTTTTGTCTAATTATGTATAATTAAACCCAAAAGGCTTGTATTCACTGATGTATATGATAAAGTTATATATTCTAGTGCAATTGAATGGCAAGAGGGAATTTGTGTGTGAATTTATAATATATAAGTATGTTCTTTCTATGTATACTGGTGTTAGTATGCCCTCACTGTTGAAGAACTTCATGTGTTAGCTTGTTGCTGAGGTACAGACATACAGACATATCTTACTGTTAAACATTGAATAACCTGCGGCAGTGCCTGTTCAGAGCAGTGGCGGGAAGCCAGGCTTCCCCTGTTTTTAATCAGACTCTATTAATCATTTTAATAAAAATCAAAATGTTTATAATTGTGATAAATGTTATGTGCTGTTGCTGTCATCTCGTCCCCATTTCTCAGTATTTTACAATAAGTGAAACAGCGTGAAGCCAGACAGCATGCAATCAACGTCATTCAGATGAAATAACGGGAGCAGTTAGCAACTTTAGCAGTCCTCCAGTTATGGAAGATGGAGATTTGGAGTTTTTAGTTATAATAAATAGTTTTACTAAACTACCACTACAGCAGCAATTTAAGATTAAATCTGATGGAAGACCAACAGCAAAACTGGAGCTGGCCTGGAGAGGAAAAAGGGGTTTTGGACGTTTAATGAGTTAAACTATATCCAGACAGAGTGGCGAGCTGGTATCCAAACTTCAGTTGACTTGTTGTGGAGGATCTAAAAGCCAGTGGGAAATTCCATAACTTTGTTATTGACCCCTTCACCTCCATGACAGACAGGAGAATGGCCTTCCTTTTCAAATAGGGTGAGTGAAATATCACCTTCTTCTCTCTGAACTTAACTGAACTGCAGCTATGTGTGTGGTGACATTGTTTGTTTTGCTTTGCTTGCCTGGATTTAGCTGTGAATGAATAGTCCATTGAAGTAATCTCATTGTTTTTACTGCGGTTGTGTATGCATAGATAATGAGCACCACGTACAGCACTTGCCACAGCGCACTGTGCCAGGTTACCTGAATAATTGTTTGGTCTTAGTACTTGGTTGTTAGTCTTGAGTAATGTTGTGTTATGAACATTAAATAAGCATTAAATAATAAGTTTGTAGGCCTATTTGATAAATGCACCATTGCTAATTTGCAAATGTAAAACTTCAAAGTCTTCTGATTGAGGTTGTGAATGCTTCTTTAATTTTTGACAGTAGCCTGTTTTTACTGTGCACCATCAGCAGCGGGCTATGTATGCTATTTGGGGTGAGAGAGCGTACGTGTCGGTAAATTCAACTTTCAGCGTGTGTGGTGATAACAGATAGTGCGCATCTTTAAAGTACGATTCAGTTTGTGTAAAATTATACCCTGCACTGTAATAGCACAATACATTAGATAATTGCCCTCCAAAAAGGACATCCCCTATATTTGAATATTCGCTCGTAGGGTGGGCCTACATAATCGATTTTCAATTTTGGGATTAGAATTTTTTTTTTTTACACCGACATTTGGCCAACGGTGAGTATGGAGGCGTACATGGCCGTCACATGTCACTTTATAGCTACAGAGTGGGAACTTTCTGGTGTCGTTCTGTGAGGCAACATTGCACAACAGCTTAGAGTCGCGACGGACGCCTTCGCTATTCCAAATTGACATGACAATGCCTGCAATATGAAACTGTGCACTGAGATACTCAAGAAAGAACCAGAGAAATGGGGCAATGACGTTAGACTAATATTTTATTTTAAATAACATTTAAATTATATTTACTAAGCGGCAAAGCTTTGATTATTCGCCGATAATTTCTATCAAAGCTTCGAAGCTCAAAAAATGACATTCGTCCCTATCCCTCTCACTTGGCTTCCCCAAAAATTTACCCCACCCCACGCCACTGGTTCAGAGCAGGCCGGTTGTCAAGAAAATCAAAAGAAGAACATACAGACAGAGACTCCTTTCGTTGTAGTTGTTAGTTGTAATAGAAGATATTATGGCTGGCTGTTCTGAAGAGTTTTTCCCTTAAGACATTATAAAACTGATCGGTGTGCAGCCACAACACTCTCTACGTAAATATCAGTGAACAGACACAATGCCCATTATTGGTAATTTTATAAATTGCAGGCAAGTCACATATGTCGTTTAATATTTTGAGTTCCACAGTTTCTTTAGTTATCACATTTCACAGCTCTGGTGGTGTGAGTGTATGTGTCAGTTTTTGCAGGTTTTAAGAGGTGGACGGATAAGTGACTGTGTCCTCAGTTCCTGGTAAGATGCGTCATCAACTGTATATAAGAGCTGGTGTTTCTCTGGTTCAGGACGACTGAAGCTACAGACGCTGAGAAGGAAGAAGAGAAGATCGTTCTGCAGCAGGTTTGCTCACAAACTGTCATTATATATTGACCTGACTGCCACTACAGGTGGTCTCTTCCCTAGAGAAGTATTACTAACATGTCCCTGTCTGTCTTTATTAAAGGTAATCATCATCTTCAACATCTGCATCATCTCCACCATGAAGACGCTGACTCTGTCTGCACTTCTTTGTGCCATGATGGCTCTGACCAGAGCTGCTGGTGAGTATTACTCCATATGTGAGTGAGTGTGAACGAGAGACAGCTTATGTTCATGTGTCTATACACAGCAACAAGGGTAGATGAAGACATGAACTCACTAGTGGGTCAAAATGTCCTTCCAGCTCTTCCAGACGCAGAGGATGGACCTGGGACAGAGGGAACTGTTGTCCAAGGTGAGTCAATATTTCTTTACATTTGTAATGGTGCCCTCTTGTAATCACATATATGAGACATGAGTATTACTGCATGTACAGAGAAAGCAATGATATGTGTTCATAAATATACAATGAAAACAGCAGACAACTTAAATCAGTAACTAGGGCTGAACGATTAATTGCATTTGCGATATTATCGCGAGTTAATAAAATGAGATTTTCTAATCGCAAAGGCTGAGATTACACTCTGGTCACATGACACCGAAATGAACAAGCGGAAAGCAGTCTGCTTTCTCCACGTTACGCTGTACTTTGCCTTCTTGTTGTACAATGGCTTAAGCTCGACAAAAACTGACACTACATAAACTTTAGTGTCACACAGGGAATGAAAGTAGCAGCCACCACCCGCGGGTAACTTGGCGGTGGTGGGTGAAATTGTCGGGCCTTCCATCCGTGGCTTTGACGGACAGGAAAAATGCACAACAGAAAGACGTGTGTAGTAAGCATAGACTGTATATAAAAAGGTAGTAAGGCAAGCGTATTGTGGCGATCTGCGTCACACACACAACCACCAGTCAGCTCAGGAAATATCTGTGATACGGCGTCCCAGTCTGTCCCGAGTTACTGCCCGATTACAGCCAGTGCGCCGCTTACCTGCATCGCAGGCTGCGGGGGAATTCCGGTGTTGTCGGAGAATTACTAAGCTTGTCTATTAAACACGAGAGGCGACACTTGGTTTTATTTTCGTTAGCCAACTTTTGAATTGAACCTCAAACTGAGTATTCTTTGTTTGCTTACTGGAATACAGAAAGATGGACTAGGAGATTGGAACTGAAATAAGGACTCATTAATTGCTGGTTGAACTGTGGGTTTTGTATTGAGCACTTACTTTATTAACACACTGTGGATGAGTTCGTTTTTCTTGTGGTCTGTAGGTAGGCCGACCTGATTGTTTGATGCCATGACTTGACTCAAATTATCTTTCTCATATTATAATTTGATATATCTTCTCCACCATTGCTCATAATAATAATTCTACCTCATAACACAAAAAAGAACAGTGTAGTTCTATCTAGCTAATATTGTGTTTGTCATAGCATATACTGATTTACTGCTTGTCCATTTTGAATAATATAGAAGGTAAAGAACTTAAAAATGAATCGCATATTAAATCGCAATTGCAATATTGGTTAAAAAAATCGCAATTAGATTATTTTCCAAAATCGTTCAGCCCTATCAGTAACTGCTGTGTCAAACTGTGCAGCTCTTCCAGACGCAGAGGCCGGAAACTGGACCAACTCGCTCACTCTAACAGGTCAGTGGGTACTTTATCAGAATTATACTAAAATACACTTGGTCATGATGTTCTCCTGTAAATAAACAGAAATACTGCATCTACTACTTCTTGTCTGTTTGACTTCAGGAGAGAGTCGTGTTGTCATAAATTCCACGTCTTGTCCCGAGGGTTGGACTGCTTTCAACAGTCGCTGTTTCCTCTACGTTCCACGATCCCTGAGTTGGGCTGTGGCTGAGGTGAACAGGATTATCTTTATTCAGTGAAGCTTCTACACTACATCTGTTCAAAACTTTCTACACTAATTTGCATCATTTACTATCTTTGCTTCTTTCTCCGCTGTAGAAAAACTGTATGTCCATGGGTGGACACCTTGCATCTGTACACAACATCGAGGAGTACCATCAGATTCAGACGATGATCTTGAGCGCCACTCATTATCAAAGAGAAGCATGGATTGGAGGGTCTGATGCACAACAGGTATTTTAATTGTCTTTATATAGTGTGCAACAATAATTTATTTAAGGAATGACTGTCTTGATTCTTATACATAAAATATTCTCTTCTGTATTAAAGAACCAATGTTGGTTCTGGAGTGACGGTACTCTTTATGACTTCACCAACTGGTGTCCTGGAGAGCCTAGTAACGGTAGAGGTCATCAGAACTGTCTGCAAATGAATTATTCAGGTAAATTAAAACATTATTTTCTTCAGAGCTCAGTGTATGATTGGTACCGGATAAATATGAATGAATGAATATTACCAATACTTGGTATTATACTACAACATTTAAGTATTCAGATCCTTTACTTCAATAAAATAACTAACTATGATTTAATCCTTAGATTATTATTACTCACGCATTTATTTAAAAGCAGGATTTTTTTGAAGTGGAGCTCATTTTTAATTATTTTGTATCGGACTGCAAATAATGAAAACTTTTTTTCTGTTTTAATCAGCTGATTATTTTCTCCATTAATCGATTGATCGTTTGGTTTGCAAAACTTATTAAAATAGCGAGAAATGCCGTCACAGTTAACCAGAATCCAAAGTGAGACCTTCACAAAGCTCGTTGTGTCCAACCAACAGTCCAAACCTCAACATTATTAACAAACATAACAATTCTACATATTTACATAAATAAAATCTAAATCTTCACACGTTAAAAGCTGAAACCATCAAATGTTTTTACAGGAAAAATGACTTAAACCATTTCAATAGTAGCCATTTCATTTTGTGTTGACTTATTGATTAATCGACAAATAGTTTCAGTTGTACTTGTATAAACTGTTATTAAGTTTAATTTACAAGAAAACACCATATTTTATAAACTGTTCATATGTTTTGTATGTAAAAATCCTGATTTATAAAGTAACTCCTAAATAAAGCTGTCAGATAATGAAGGTACTTTTTTCCCTCTGAGATGTAGTGGAACAGAAGTACAATGTGGCATGAAAAGATAAATAAAATAAATAATAAAATAATGAAATACCTAATACTTAGGTACTGAACTTGAGTAAATGTACTATTGGTTTTTAGATTTATTAGTAGCCTATTAATGCAGCTATAAAAACTGTGGCGTTGTGATGACAACAGTTAGGAGTTTCTGCCTGTAACTGCGAGAGGTGCTGACTATATATCCCAGGATGAATGTCTGCTGTGTTTTTGGTTCTTGCAGATCAGAAGTGCTGGGATGACACTTGGTGTGATGTTCACCTCCCGTATGTCTGTGCCAGAAACGTCTGATAAAAGCGTGGATAACGTGTCAAAAGCACAGACACTGATCAATTTCTGTTTGTGTGTCTGCGAGCAAACTTGTCTGTCTTTACGCCACGAGTCTCATATTTGACCTGAAGGCTCTATATCTCATTTCACATCTTTATTTCTTCTCTATCGCTGTAACGCTACTTAAGGAACGAAGTCACAAGTGACATAAACAGCAGCTGGATTGTCTCTGTCTCTTAAATACGAGCAGACTGAATGTGTAATGAAAAGTAAGCTTTTAGCACAACTTTATTCTGCAGAGTGAACTGTTTTTTCTTCTCTTACGCAAAATTAAAAGTCTCAAGAAGCATTGAAACAAGCTGGTCTGTGTTATATCTCCTGTTTGTACGGGTACAATAAATAGACAGGTATATGAAATAGATCTCAAAGAGCTTCAGCTATAATACTGTTAAATAATACTGTTCATTATAATTGTTGGGGCACCTAGTGAAAATGTCCATCCAATAAAACCTAATGAGAGATGGTACAAGAGGGATGTGATCCAAACCTGTAATGAATCTTGATATTAAAAGTTTCTGAAAGTGTCTGACAGCATTTGGTTCAGTTCAAACCTCCTGATATGTTCTGGACAAATAAAATAAATAAATATGGTATCTTTCATCTAATTGATCGAAGTCTTCATGTATTCCAGATGGGCATTTGATTATATAAAATTTTGACCACTTTATTGATTTTTAATGGTTTTATTCAAACTTTACTCATCTCTGGCATTCCTGTTCAAAACTGAGTATGTGTGAGACTATATTATATTCAACCAACAGACGGGAAACGTCCCCATACACCCCCATCTATCTATATGTTTTGAAATAAATGTTCATTTCAAAATAAGTTGAATATTCTTTCTCAATAAAACCAATGTGGCTTACAGCATCCACCAAATGGGACTCTGGGACTAATACATCTTTTTAAATGATTTCAAAACAGTATCCTGGTCTGTGATATGTTTTTATCTGGTCTACACTCAAAATAATAGATAAATTATACTTTTTAATTGAAAAATGAGTGAAAGTATTTCAGATAACTGAGCTTTTAAAACCATGAATTCCAAAAATTAGTGTAGAACGTCATTGTTAAATGACTAGAAATTGGGTAAAATATGTCCCACGTCATGTGGTGATAATTCATGCTTTATGTTGGATTAAACAGTTAAACAGAGCAGCCAATTTTTGTTGGGAACACTTTGAATAGGAAACAATGAATGAATACAATAGTAGTATTCATTGTGTAAATGGAAATATTTAAGGAACTGTTTAATCTGTAGTTGCAGTAAATACTTCAACGATCACCACCACTGGTTTAGATTACTCAACATTTTTAAGGTAACACATAGTTCTTTATTATAATGAGTTTTTCTTATTAAAAACAAATTAGAAAACATGAAGCTTTTTTAAACCAGCAGTACAGCAGCTTGCAGTACATCCATCTAACCACTAGGTGGTGCTGTCTTTAACTTTATCAGCCTATCCACAAAACACTCAGCTAGAGACAAACACAGGAGAAGAAATCCATTCAGATCACAGTGATACCGAGAAAAAAAAACTGTTACGCAAAAATGTATGTTTATATTCATCAAATATAACGAGATGTCATTAATATATATATATATATATATATATTCAATATTAATGTCATTAATATTGAAACCCTCAGAATGTTAAATAATGAGTCAGACTTGATAGAGAATGGAGATTGTTTTGGTGGAACAATAGGACATGTAGTTTAAGGTCAGCTGTAGTCTGGTCCTAAAAATTAGTTTGAGTTATCCTGAAACATTATGAGATGGAAGACATTGAAGTGCAATGTGTTTTAAAAAAACAACACCAACAAAACATTTGCTGCTTTGTATTGCAGTCAGATGCAGACACCAAGTTGTAGGCTAGATGGCAAAAAAAAATGTTCTTCTTGTGCATTTTATGGGCTTGAGTTATTATTGTGATCATCGTGACATACTGTTCTGCTCTAAACTTCTCATAATACTTCACTTTAAACACTTAGTACTTACATTACAATACAGGGATGTTGAAAATATTGACTAAAGAATGTGCAAAAGTTCACAGTGTGAAGAAGTGTAAGTAGCTGACCTCGAATAGTTGAAGACTCGATGCTTCGATGGGCGGAGCCTCATTCGACTGTCAGTCTCACAGTGAAGCTTCAGAGTGAAACGAGGATCGTGCCATTTTGTTTATATGGGGTGTTCAACGTCTGATTTTACATTACTTAAAAATAAAATAAATTATAAAATATTACTTGTTGTGCAACAAGCGAACTTGTTTTGGTATTTTGGTGCATAACAATAGTAAGACAGTAAGAGAAAGGGGTCTGTATCTGCAAAGAACCTGCCCCCTGCCTGTATTTTTCTCATTTTGCTGTGTTGGGGATGTTCTATTTCTTATAGGCTTCGCCCTCTAAGGCCATCGCTATTGGGTTTACCCCCTGCGCGGCACTGAGAATTTTACTCTACGTCCACCCACAGCGTGAGGTTAAGTATATATGTGTGAGGTTAAGTATATATGTGTGAGGTTAAGTATGTATATGTGTGAGGTTAAGTATGTATATGTGTGAGGTTAAGTATGTATATGTGTGAGGTTAAGTATATATGTGTGAGGTTAAGTATGTATATGTGTGAGGTTAAGTATGTATATGTGTGAGGTTAAGTATATATGTGTGAGGTTAAGTATGTATATGTGTGAGGTTAAGTATGTATATGTGTGAGGTTAAGTATATATGTGTGAGGTTAAGTATGTATATGTGTGAGGTTAAGTATGTATATGTGTGAGGTTAAGTATATATGTGTGAGGTTAAGTATATATGTGTGAGGTTAAGTATGTATATGTGTGAGGTTAAGTATGTATATGTGTGAGGTTAAGTATGTATATGTGTGAGGTTAAGTATATATGTGTGAGGTTAAGTATGTATATGTGTGAGGTTAAGTATGTATATGTGTGAGGTTAAGTATATATGTGTGAGGTTAAGTATGTATATGTGTGAGGTTAAGTATGTATATGTGTGAGGTTAAGTATGTATATGTGTGAGGTTAAGTATATATGTGTGAGGTTAAGTATGTATATGTGTGAGGTTAAGTATGTATGTGTGAGGTTAAGTATGTATATGTGTGAGGTTAAGTATGTATATGTGTGAGGTTAAGTATGTATATGTGTGTGGTTAAGTATGTATATGTGTGAGGTTAAGTATGTATATGTGTGAGGTTAAGTATGTATATGTGTGAGGTTAAGTATGTACATGTGAGGTTAAGTGTGTATATATGCACAGGGTTGAGTATGTGTATATGCGCAAGTTTAAGCATGTACATATGGGCAAGTTATATATGCATGAGGTTAAGAATGTAGAAATGTGGAATGTTGAGTATGTGTATATGAGCAACCTGATTATGTATATGCACGAGGTGAGTATGTATAGCACGTATTCTGGCCTCTTTTCACTGGTTACCAGTGCCAGCTAGAGCTGACTTTAAGGTCCTCCTTTTAACTTATAAGGCCTTGCATGGACTTGTACCATCCTACCTAGCTGAGCTAATTACACCATATACACCAGCTCACCCTTTCCACTCTCTCAGGGCTGGTACCCTGATTAAACCTCTGCATAACAAAAATCTACAGAGCTTTTACCTACATAGCTCCATATATATGGAATGATCTCTACATGTTACGGAAGCACGTTAAATGGATTTTTTAAAGTCAAAAGAGAGTCACGCACTCTCAGGCACTGACTGAATGAGTTTGTGCATGTGACCAGTTGTGTGTGGTGGCTGGTGATGACAAAGATCACAGCATCAGGTTAAAAGCAAGCGGAGGGGCTGACGGCCTACAGGTCTATGGGACTGGGGTTGCCCTGTGACAGACTCAACAAGAGTCTAAAACTCATACACATACACCCCACTGCAGCAAGAAAGTGAGACGGAGACGTGTCCGATGCATGGATTCTCCTGCTTGATATTATATTGCTGCTACTGGTAAGGTTGCCCTCAGGAGCACTGGAAAATTTCCCAGTCCGCTAGTGTAATCTCCACAGCCTCTTCTTGTTTACAGTGTCATTGGTCACTAGTGCTCAAGGCAATAGACTTCACAAATGGACCAATGAGCAAACACTGTGTGTATTCATAGGAGTTTCGTATCACACTGCAGTTTGTTTGTTATTTCACATGCCTTTTGACAAGGCTACAATTTTATAACCCAGCAAAGTGTCTAGTGGGAAAAACTGTGCTGAAATCCACCTGTGTTTGGTGGATTGATCAAGTGGTAACGTCAATTCCTGGTTGCCTGTGACTTTTATCATGGACATTTAGCCAACCAAACCACTTCCTTTGATATGAAAGGCGTTGCATATGATCTGCCATCTCCAATCGCACAGGGACCCAATAGAAAATGATTACTCCTAAAGCTTCTATGAACATAATTTTTACAACTCAGAGTTATGTTGGCAGTAACATGGGAGCAGCCTTTTGCAGAATGAAGAAGTGTAAGCCTACATAATAAAGGGAGACCTGCTCAACAGGACAGTTTTATCCATATTTAAAAAAAACAAATAGAAATATATAATATTGCCATCAGAAAGCCATGCTCTGTGCAACGAGAGGATTCTGTTAATATATCATCATCTGACTTAGATGTTTCAGTGTATGGCCTGCATTTGTTCTGCAGAGACTAAATGTGTGAATATTCAAACGGCATATTCAAAGCCTATGCTTTTAATATGCCATTAATTGAATATAAAAGTAGCAGCTTTTTGAAAGGGTGATGCAGGCTTCTTTCCAACAAGAGTTACATTAATTGAACAACCAAACCTTAAACTGAAATGGTATTTTGCCTGATTTTCTAAATGTTTGCATCTGTCCAGCTCATTCACATCTGGCACAAGTGCACCGGTAAAGCTCTCCTGCAACTTCGATGACTGTTCATTTACGTTAAAGGAGCAAAATGCAGAGTAGATAACAAATGGGTATAAATGGCAAATGTAGCAAAGTTAATATTGCTTCACCACAAAATACTTAGAGTAAAAGTACAGTTTTTATAAAAGCAATGTGAAAAGCTGCTAACAACTTTTTTTCTGGCCCAGAAACCTCACACCATGGGCTAGTCAATGAAGGCACATACCAACTATTTTTCAACTGCAGTTTAATACTATGTGGTTTATCGGCCCAATTGTCCAGTGGCCCAACGGTTTTCCGGTACTCCCAATGGCTAATCCGAGTCATCATGGCACAAACACACAACAACACAGTCAGTAAATTAATGGTGGAGATGATATTAAAGATGACAGACAGTGTTACTCATCCTTCTTGAGGGAGCAGAAGATGCTACTGATACTGGCAGTACTTTAAAGGAATAAAAGAGGATGATATCATAGTTTGTTGTTTTCAGTTAGGAAAAATGACTCATTGTTTATTTTCACTGGATTTTATCCAGCAATGGTGTCACCCAACACCGCTTGTTTCAGTCTCACATGTTGAACAAGGCTCATCTGACAGCAAACATGAATCTGATATATATTTACAAACAATAATTACCTCTAGTTCTTGAGAAGTCCTCGTTACACAGAATAACAGTTCATTGGCGTCTCGCCCACTTTTTAAGTGAAATTTGCTTCTCTCTATCAATCTTTTCTTTGACCTTCATCTATACAGAGAATCAGACTGAGACCAGGGTTTCTTTTACAGCTGAGCCAAAAATGATTAAACAGATGAAAAAACACTCACCGGCCACTTTATTTGGTACAGGTGTTAAAAGCTAATCAGCCAATCCAACAAGTCCTCCAACCTAAACAACAACATATCATCAAATCAGCGTCCTACAGTTGTGGCTGACAGGACCTACGTTTTAGAAATCACGTGAGATCAGCGACACAAAGAAGGTGAACCCTACTTCACCAGTCTCTTGGGTGAAGGGCTTTGTCATGTGTTTGCATTGTATGAGTGTATTGTTAGAGATCGCTGCCACAATAAAGTTACACATGAGTTGTAATTTTGTGTGGCCGAAACTACCTATATGGTCATTTTTCTGTGGAGGACAGGCTCGCCAGTCACATGGCAGCAGCTCAATGCATTTAGGTAGACGTTGTCAAGACAACTGAAGTTCAAACCAAGCATCAGAATGGGGAAGAAAGGGGATTAAAGTGACTTTGAACGTGGCATGGTTGTTGGTGCCAGACGAGCTGGTCTGAGTATTTCAGAAACTGCTGATCTGCTGGGATTTTCAGGCACAACCACCTCTAGGGTTTACAGAGAATGGTCCAAGAAAGACAAAATATCCAGTGAGCGGCAGTTGTGTGGACAAAAACGCCTTGTTGATGTCAGAGGTCAGAGGAGAATGGGCAGACTGGTTCCAGATGAAAGATTGGCAACAGTAGAGCTGTTTATCCATTTTCGGCTACTGTAGAAACATGACGTTGAAACATGGCGACATCCATGGAAGGAGGGACCCGAGGTTATGTAGATATAAATGGCTCATTCTAAGGTAATAGAAACATAACGTTTCATTATGAAATGTCTTTATACACCACTAAAAACATAGTTATGGATATTATATTGAATTTCTGTCAATATATCCTCAGAAATATTACACACTGAACCTTTAAAGCCATTCTTCTCCATTCTTCCTTTAGCTTTTTGGGTAACAATTGATTTGAACAACAGAAGGTCTGGCTTCTCGACTTGAACTGCCCCTGACAAGGACAACAAAACAAGCGGCGTTCTGGTGATGCAGTAACGCAGCATTGCTTGGATTAGTAACTGTAATAATATTACTGTTTTGAAAATAGCAACCTGTTACACTACTAGTTACTGGAAGAAGTAATATTATAACAGTAACGCGTTACTGCCCAACGCTGGTAATCAACAGCAGAGTCACATCCATTGCGGCACATACAAACAGTGCCTCTTAACGGTGAAAATGATATTAAAGATGATCACTTCTACTTGTACTGCAGTACTTTAGATGATAGAAAGAGGATGATAGAGTTCATAGCTAGTTTTTTTTTGAAGTTAAGTAAATTTAAGTTAAATTACTGTTTTCTTTCACTGGCATTTTATCCAACACCTCATTCAGTCTCACATGTTGAACAAGGCTAATCTGACAGCAGCCCAATACAAACACAATCAAAGTAGTTCCTGCTACTGGACGAATCCTAATATACTTTTTGGGGATGTGGGAATGGTAGCGCTGCATAATAAGGTAATTTACTGATTGTGGATGACTGTGGATTAAAATCCATTGCATTTAACCGTGTTTGACAGCTTCGTCCCTTCTGCAGTGTTACAACAAAGCAGATTATTAAAGACATGAATCTGATGACACAGTGCAAACATACACACTATCACATATCCATCAGATGTTTGCGTGTTTGATCAGTACAACATATCCATGCCAGCTCCGGAGATAATACGGGATGGTGGCTACACAAACGGTGTGTCTTGTGACAATAAGTCATTCCAGCAGAAAAGGTAAAGACACAGGTGTCAGTCAGAGCTTTGAGCTGCTTAGTGGCCAGCAGACCAGGCTGCGGTTGTAATGGGCAGCTTCCAGGTGTGAATGTGATCAGGGCCTTCCTGCAAAACAGAGGCTTCCTCTCAGTGAAGCTCCCTCACCCAGTGCCTTAAAGGTTATCCCACTAATTAACGGGGAATGTGTGACTAAGTCTGACACAAGTAAAGCAGAACTCAACACTGAACTCCTGTTAGCTCAGTTTGTCACTTTTATGTTGGGAGGTTGAAGGGTGTCTATTTGCCTCTACAGAACTAACTTCTGAACTATTAAACACTGAATAAACCAGTGCAGTGCCCGTTCAGAGCAGGTTGTCAAAGGACAAACAGAGACTTCTTCCTTTACAGTTAGAAGACATTGTGGGCGGCGGCTGTGTGGGGTTCTGTCTTTCACTAAAATATGTTGTATTTTTTACTGTCATCAGTGAAGATACTATATTTATGACCCAACTGGAATTTGTTCTTAATAATGACATTTATTGCAGGTTTTTAATCAATTGCAGGCAAAACAAATACGTCATTTGATAGTTTGAGTTCTGTTTAAAAATGATCATGCATGTTTCTGTAGTGATCATATTTCACTGCTCTGGGGTTAGGGTTAGGCACCATGTTCACCAAGGTGCATGTAAATGTCTATTCTGGTTGTGTGTTTTGTCAGTGTGCGTGTCATTAGTTCCTCGTTTTGTGAGGTGGTAAGATAGGTAAGTTTGTCCTCAGTTCCTAGGAAGATGTGTCATCAACTGTATATAAGAGCTGGTGTTTCTCTGGTTCAGGACGACTGAAGCTACAGACGCTGAGAAGGAAGAAGAGAAGATCGTTCTGCAGCAGGTTTGCTCACAAACTGTCATTATATATTGACCTGACTGGTGGTCTCTTCCCTAGAGAAGTATTACTAACATGTCCCTGTCTGTCTTTATTAAAGGTAATCATCATCTTCAACATCTGCATCATCTCCACCATGAAGACGCTGACTCTGTCTGCACTTCTTTGTGCCATGATGGCTCTGACCAGAGCTGCTGGTGAGTATTACTCCATATGTGAGTGAGTGTGAACGAGAGACAGCTTATGTTCATGTGTCTATACACAGCAACAAGGGTAGATGAAGACATGAACTCACTAGTGGGTCAAAATGTCCTTCCAGCTCTTCCAGACGCAGAGGATGGACCTGGGACAGAGGGAACTAGTGTCCCAGGTGAGTCAATATTTCTTTAGATTTGTAATGGTGCTCTCTTGTAATCACATATGAGGCATGAGTATTACTGCATGTATAGAGAATTAAATTAAATGTGTTCATAAATACAAAATGAAAACAGCAGCAGACAACTTAAATCAGTAACTGCTATGTCAAACTGTGCAGCCCTTCGAGACACAGAGGCTGGAAACTGGACCAACTCATTTACTCCAAGTTAGTGGATACTTTATCAGAATTATATTAAAATACACTTTGTCATGATGTTCTCCTGTAAAAAAACAAGAAATACTGCATCTACTACTGTAGACTCATTATTCACTCTTGTCTGTTTGACTTCAGGAGAGAGTTATGTTGTCAAGAGGTCCACATCTTGTTTCTTGGTTTGGACTGCTTTCGATGGTCGCTGTTTCCTCTATGTTCCACAATCCATGAATTGGGCTGCGGCTGAGGTGATCAGGATTATCTTTATTCAGTGAAGCTTCTACACGACATTTATTCTGTTCACTACTTTCTAGCAGTGGCATCGTTTACAGTCTTGTTTCTTCTTTCTCCGCTGTAGAGAAACTGTATGTCCATGGGTGGACACCTTGCATCTGTACACAACATCCAGGAGTACCCTATGATTCAGGCGATGATATTGAGGGAAACTCACAATCAAGGATTAGCATGGATTGGGGGATCTGATGCACAACAGGTAAATTATTCATCATTATATGATGTGCAACCTTTTAATTTAAGCATTATTGTCCTGACTCTTTTATATAATATTCTCTTCTGTATTCAAGGAGGGAGTTTGGTTCTGGAGTGATGGAAAGCCTTTCAGCTTTTCTTACTGGTGTTCTGGAGAGCCTAATAACACTGACGGTCGTCAGAACTGTCTGCAAATGAATTATTCAGGTAAATTTAGACACAATATTTTACTTACAAAGAAAAGGCTGGTGAATTGCATAAATTTAAATATCTCTGGGTTTATGTCAAGTCACTTGAATGTTACCAATACATAACATTATATCATAAACTACAAAACGTACAGTGTTGTTTTTTTTAGATTGATTAGTTACCTGTTACAAAAACTGTTGTGATGACAACAGTCAGGAGTTTCTGTCTCTTTTTTTTTTTTTTTTTTTTTTTTTTTTAACCTGTCCTGCCCAGCAGCCTGGTATAGAGTATAATGACCTGGATACCATATTGTGCCAGACAGATTTTACTTTAACAAGAGAGTATTAAAATACTCCTTTGTCTGTTTTATTATTTATTTAATTATGTATTGATTTGTCACCGGGCCGGACAGGGGGGCAGACACGGGGATGGGGGGGCACAAACAGACAGCACAGAGAAAGGACAACACCTGCAAGAGAAGGGGGAAAGGGGGATGGAGGGTGGGGACAACAGGGAAAAGCTGTGGGAAACACCAATTGCAGAAAGCAACGAAACCTGCAAGAGAACAGAGAGGGGGGCTTGGGGAGGAGAAAAACAACAACAAACAAACACAAACAAAAAAAACAATAAAAATAATAATAATAGTAAAAGAAAACCAGCCGAACAGCAGCAATAAACAGCTGACATATTAATGACATATTAAGACAACTAAGAGAACAATGAAAACAAGAAACAGTCACACACACTAAATAAGCAACACAACACAGCCACGAGAGCTGGAATAATAATTAATTTAAATAAGTAACTGAAAGAAAGGCATCAGGAATAATTCTACCAGGGACAACCTAAGTTTGTTTGTGTCTGTGTGGGTGAATGTGTCTGTATGTGTGTGTATGTACATGTGTGTGCGCATAAGCCTGTTAAAGAATGTAGTTGTTAGAGAGAGTGGGACGCCACGACTGTAACAGGCAGGCAAGAACCCCAGTAGCCAATAGGGGTGGAAGAAAGAAAAAGAATAAATCAAATCAAAAAAAAACAAAGACTCCCAGATGCACCGCGATGCAAACGCAGAAGACCCCGACCCAAATGCCAGTTGACAACGTAATGCCGACGGAACGCAAAAGAGGAAGAGCAGCGCCCGGACCGACCGCGGCGCAGACACAACATAGACCAGTGGCCTCCCCCATCCAGCACCCCACCGCCGCGCAGCAAACAACCACAATGCCCAAATGCCACGCAATCATCAACACCAATGCACAAGTGACGAGCCCAACGCGCACACTGCGCGAGCACGGCGACACCCATGCCCAGCAGCCCCCCGCGAATCCCGCGTGCGAGGTCGGGCAAATGAGAGAGAGCAAACGGAACAACACGACAGCGAAAGCCAGCGGAGAGAGACACCAGCAGCAAGTCCCAGCCCGGCAGCAAACGCGCCGCACAGGTCACCGTGCACCCGCCAATAAAAGTCCACCGTCCCCCCAACCGCCGGAAAAAACTAAGGCCGCCGGCGCCAGCCGACATCCCCCATGCCCAGCGCCCCCCCGGCCGCCATGCACCACCAGCCAAACCAGCAACGAGGCAAAATCAACTAGCTCAGCTGCATGCCACCAACAACCCACCCATCCATCAAGGGCCGAGAACTCCAGGCACAAACCCAGAACAAACCGGAGCACAGCCCTGCCCCGCACCCACACTGCACATCCCGAAAACTAACTATAACCTCAGTATCCAGAGGGGTCCAACAACTGGCCGACAGAGAAATGGGCAAGCACGGATCCGAGGCCAACGAAGCAAAACAGGAACGCAAACAGGTCCCTCCAAGCCAATGAGGAGATGCCTCCCCCGGACTCCAACGCACAAACTAAACGCCCAGCAGCCATCCAGAGACCCTGCCCAGGGAAAAAGTATAATACATCAAGATGCATCGATAATCGCCCCACAATCCCACCGCAGACCCCCACCCCCAGAAGCCAGGACACCCTGCGACCCCCCAAAGCGCAAAGGACCCCAGACCGCATGTCCAGGGGGAAGCTGTACCCCGCCCCAAGGAAGAACAGCAGAAAGCCGTGCCGGGAAGCTCGCTACCGCCAGGGAGCGATAACGCGGGAGAACCAGGCCAACGGTCCCCCAGCCCAGCCAGAGGCATCCCTCCCTACAGTGCAGCCAGTGACAGCAGCCCCCGAGGCCGATCTCATCCCCGGACAGGGGCCCAGCCCCCCCAGTCAAGCACCCCCAAGGAGGAGCACCAAAACCTACCCCGACAGCACCGGTCATGCGCCCCAGAGACTCCCGAATGCCCCCACCGTGAGAGAGCTGGCAGGGGGAAGCAGCGGGAGCCTCACCTCTGCCGAAGAGGGCCCAGGCGAGGAGAGGAGACAACGGGCCCCCAGGCCCAGGGACACACCACCCGCCCAGAAATGAGCAAAGGCCACAAGCCCGAGTCCGCAGAACCCTAGGCCAAGGGCGGGCCCCCACGCCAGGGGAGCCCCGACCCCCCCCAGCCCACCCCAGATCAGGCAAGGCCGCCACCAACCCCACAGCACCCCCAACGCCCGGGGCTCCAGGGGTAGGACACGAGGCCAATGAGAATCTCTCCCACTCCTTCAACCCCTCTGCCTGCCTCTGTAAATGTATTGTTTTGTGTTGGATGCATGTCATGGATTGTGAAGTGTTGTATGGTGGAGTGAAGATAAGGTGTGTGGTAACTAAGGTGCAACTAAAATTGGAGGGTAGTTGTGACACAGGCACCCCACAACTGTCAGGTAGTGGAGCCTCCCATCGTGCCCCTCCCACCCCCCAAGCCCTCTGTGTCTAATGTGTAATTAAAATTGAGGGGCAGGCAGTGAGGGAGGAAGAAGTGCGAGGCCGCAATAAAGCAGCCCCACCCCCCAAACGCCCTGCAGGCTGCCCGTCCCCCAGGATCCTAAGGGTGTATGTTGTGAGACATGACCAAAGGGGAAAGGTGAAGGAGGTCATAGGGAGGCTAGAAGACCAGATTCCTGACTGGCCCCATCATTTATTCAGTCCCGTCCCCCACCCCCCTAAGCAGGAGGACGCCAGGTCCCTCCAGCCCAGGGCTTATAGCAAGAGCCCCTCTAGCACCGGTAGCACCCCAGAGTCAGTGACAACCCCGCCCATCCCCAGGACGGGCCCAGGGGGGCCCAGCCCCCCCAGCGCGCAGACCCGCCCCAGACCCAGAGGCTCCAAAGCCCCGTGCCCCAGACCCCCACACACTCCAGAGGCAGGTCAGTGCAGCCCCAACCCAAAGTCCAACAATCCCCCGTCCTCGCCGGGGCCCCTCCGGCAGCCCCACTGCTAACCCCTCACCTCACCGCTCCCCCACAATCAGCAGTACTCCGAGCACCACCAGCCCCCAAGGGAGCAGGTCCGGGGCAGCAAGGACCCCACCCAAGGACAGAACGGCCCAACAGCCCAGATCCGAAGGTCGGCCCACACCCAGGAGGCAATGCCACTCAGGCCAGGTCAGGCCAGAAGACCCCCACCCCCGCTCCCTTCCCTCCCTAGCAGCGAAGCATCCCACACACAAACCCCCACCGTCCCCAAAGAAAAGAGACAGCAATCACCCCGCGACAGCAGCAACAGCCCCTCAGCCCTAGGGAGTCAGCAGATGCAAATAGCCCCTAGGACTCAACACGACCACACTCCAGAGGGCCGCGACGCGACTGCAAGCAACCATCGACACACCCCAAAGCACAATCCCTCCATACACAGGATCCCGGCACAACCACCAAGCATCCAGTCCGGGCACTAAAATCCAGAGGAGACACCCCCCAACCAGCTCAAAAAGGACCAGCCCGCACCCCCAACCCACCCCGTCAACCCCTTCTTCCCGGTCCCCCACCCCTCCAACAACCAGTCGCCAGACCCCTCAGAGAACCGAAATGCAATTATCAGGATGCACAGCATGCACACAGGACAGAGCCGCACACCAGCCCAGTCCCGGCCCGCACCCGATGCCCCCAACCCCCGACAAGCACGCAAGCCAATAATGACCTACAGATGAGCCAATCAACACTACCCCGCTACCAATCTAACTAGCGGCACACAACAGCCAAGTAATGCGCTGCGCAGGAGAGATGCCAGCCGGCGCAAACCGCCCCCATCCCCCCCGCAGCCAGAGAGACCACAGACCCCACCCACGGCTACACCGTGACCCACGCCGCACGTTCACCACCAGACCGAAACCCACCACAAGCATCCCCCCCCACCAACCTCCACCGCCATGCCCGCCGCCCGCCCCCTCCCCCCAACCCGGACCCACACACAGGACACACAGGGAGGCAGCCAAGCACCGAGCGCCACCACATCCGCACAGCGCGCGAGTCAAAATCACCACCCGCGCACCGATACCAACAACCCGCGACACCTAAGCAGAGTGGCTACCCACCCCGCAGCAGCGGCACGCCGAATACAGGGCAAACACCGGTCCCCCCGTCAAGCCCGCGCCCTAGGCAACCCGAGCGCCGCACCACCCCCCCCCCCCGCCAACACCATGCCATCAACCAACATTTAAAATTAGAAAAAGTCCCCCACGCCCGCACCGCAATGCATCTAAGAATCAACCCACCCCCAGACACACCTACCAGCCGTACGGGACCCTGACCAGCAAGGCAGTACACACCCACCCCCATTAAGTGATAAAGTTGATCAAGGGGGACCAGAGAGATTGGAATTGTGTCAATTTGTTTTTTTTTACAGCAGACATTTTCTCCATGCTAATGTGATCTATAAGGTGATTCCGATATTGGGTGATACTTATATTCTTTTTGGCCTTCCAGTTCATGAGGATAGTTTTCTTGGCGATGCATAAGGCAGTGAGAAGCATGTATGATGTGTCAACCTCTATACTAATGTCACTTAGGTCCCCCAGCACGCAGAGTGATGGGGAAACTGGGACGGGGTAACTTAGCCATATCGATAGGTCTTCACATATCTTCTGCCAGAACTTTTGAACAGGTGTACATTGCCACATAGCATGCATGTAACTATCAGATATGTTACCTGAGCAGTTCCGGCAGATGTTTGACTGCATAAGACCCATTCTGAACATCCTTTGTCCAGTATAGTGTGTTCTATGGAGAGTTTTATACTGTATAAGTTGTAGATTGGGATTTGTAGTCATTCTAAAGGTATTTAAACATATCTGCATCCAAAAGTTTTGGTCTGGACTAATGGATAGATCTGTTTCCCATTTTAAGAATGGGAGAGAGATTGAACTATCTGTTTTTAACAGTAACATGTATACTTTTGATAACAGTTTTGGAGGCGAGAGTTTAAGAAAGTCTGTTATCATTGGAGGTAAATCTAAGTCCATTATTTTATCCTTAAATCTAGCCTGAATTATGGATTTAAACTGTTGAAATTCCAGAAATCTATTATGGCTAATTCCATATTGTGCCACTAGATCCTGGAATGGAATAAAGTTACTGCCTTGCATTACATGCTCTAGATGTCTTATCCCTTTGTCATACCACAGTGGGGAATTTAGTGTTTTCTTATTTTGCAGGATGTCAGGATTATTCCAGATTGGGGTAAATCTGCATGGGATAGGTGAAGACCCAGATATTTTGAGAAGTTCCCACCAAGCTGCCAAGGAAGTGCTTATGTTAATGCTTTTAAAGCAGGTATGACGTTTGATGCTGGAACTGATGAATGGCATATCGGAAATTTTAATTTCATTACAGAAGGTTTGTTCTATGTCCATCCATGAGTGGTCCAGGGGGCTCTGATTGATCCATTTTGAGATATATTGTAGTCTATTAGACAGGAAGTAATGATAAAAATTTGGCAGTTCTAAACCACCACAGTCTTTTGCTTTTTGCATAGTTTTTAGACTGATTCGTGGGGGTTTATTTTTCCACAAAAATTTTGAGATGTTTGAGTCCAGTGATTTAAACCAGACAGCAGAGGGTTTGGTGGGTAACATTGAAAACAGATAATTGATTTTAGGTAGGACCATCATTTTTATGGTGGAGACTCTTCCCATGAGTGATATAGGTAATGATGTCCACCGTACAAGGTCATCCTCTATAGATTTAAGTAAAGGCGTGTAGTTTAGCCATGTCAGTTCTGACAGCCTGGAGGAAATATTGACACCCAGATATTTAATATTCCCAGACTTTAGCGGTGTGGTAGATATACTCTGGAAATCACACTTTACAGGTAAAACTATGGATTTACTCCAGTTAATGGAGTAGTCTGAGATGGATGAGAATTTATCTATAAGTGTGATTGTCTCAGAAAGAGAAGTTTGTGAGTTTAGGAGGAAAAGTAATACATCATCTGCATAAAGGCTTATCTTATGGTGTATATTTTCTGTTTGAATTCCTTTAATATTATTATTTTGTCTGATCGCAGCTGCTAGTGGTTCTATAAAAATAGCAAATAGCGAGGGAGAGAGTGGGCAACCCTGCCTGGTACCCCTCTGGAGACTAAAGCATGGAGAAGTATGATCATTTGTTTTGACAGAAGCTCTTGGGGAACTGTATAAGATTTTAATCCAATCTATGAAAGAGTTTCCAAATCCAAATTTATATAAAGTAGCGAATAGAAATTTCCAATTTACTCTGTCAAATGCTTTCTCTGCATCTAAAGAAACAACTATAGTTTCCAGGTTATGAATAGTGGCATAGTCTATTACGTTAAGTAGCCTGCGTGTATTGTTGGTGGAGTGCCTACCCTTAATAAATCCTGTTTGGTCAGAGTGTATTATACCAGGAGTGACCTTCTCTAGCCTTCTTGCTAGGGTTTTGCAGATGATTTTAAGATCTGCGTTAATAAGTGATATTGGGCGATAACTGGACGGGAGTGTGGGGTCTTTGTCTGGTTTAAGGAGCAGGCTGATATTAGCAGAATTCATTGTTGGAGGCAACATGCAAGTACCCCTAATTTGCATAACCATCCTATAGAATGTGGGCGCAAGTATTTCCCAGAATTCCTTATAGAGTTCAGCGGGAAAACCATCTGGCCCAGGGGCTTTATTATTCGGCATATGTAAGAGAGCTTCCTGGAGTTCAGCCATTGAAACAGGTGAATCCAGAGCCCTGATCTGTTCATCATCTAACCTTGGCAAATCTATATTGTTCAGAAATGCATCGATGTTAGAGCTAGATGGGTCAATTTGTGATGTATATAAGTTTTTATAATAATCTCTGAATGCATTGTTGATTTCTTCTGGGTTATAAGTCAGATTCCCAGCTGAGTCCTTTAAGGAAGAAATAGTTATTTTTTCTTTATTCAATTTCAATTGGCTGGCTAAGAATCTGCCGGATCTATTGCCATGTTCAAAGTTCTCCAAGCGTAGTCTTTGCAACTGAAATTGGGTCTTTTTATTAATAATTTCATTTAATTCAAGTTTTGATTTTCTCAGATCATTCAGCATGTGTTCCTGTGGGGAGGCAGCAAGGGTAGTTTCTAATGTTTTTATTTTTTGTTCTAGCTGTAATTCACAAGATCTCTCTTTCTTTTTTTTGTATGATGAATAGGAGATTATTTTACCTCTCATGACTGCTTTTGCTGCCTCCCAAAGAAGACATGGCGAGGTTCCTGGCAGGTCATTAGTTTCCATATATATTGCCCACTCCTTTTTGAAGTAATTTATAAAATCTAGGTCTTTAAGCAATGATGCGTTAAATCTCCAACTTCTAGTTGGCTGTGTGACCCTTTTTTTAGTAAGAGTGATAGAAACCGGTGCATGATCACTGATAGTGATAGGGTGAATCTGAGTGTTGGAAATGTCTGTCATAATTGAGCTGCTAACCAAAAAATAGTCAAGGCGAGAAAATGAGTGGTGGACTGGTGAAAAGAAGGTATATTCTCTAAGAGTGGGGTGGTGAGAACGCCAAACATCACAAAGACCAAAATCGCTCATGTATTGTTTAAGGATGTCTGTTGATTTCCAAATACGGTGACCACCTGCCGTACTGAGCCTGTCAACTGCTGGATTACATACCATGTTGAAGTCCCCTCCTAATATAAGAGCTGTGTCTGAGTGAGCAGAGAGTGAGTTGAAGAAAGCATGAAAAAAGGAGGGGTCGTCAACATTTGGGCCATAGATGTTAGCAATGCATAAAGGAGTATTTTGAATCGAAATGTTAACAATAATGAATCGACCCTCTGGATCAATAGTAGTGTTATTATGATTGAAGTGTGTTTTTCTATTTATCATAATGGTGACACCCCTTTGTTTTGAGTTATAACAGGCTGAGTACGAGTGAGGAAACTGTGGTGAGGTTAGTTTATCTGCTGTCTTGGGTAAATGAGTCTCCTGTAGTAGGACAATGTCTGCTTGCAGATTATTTAGATGGTTAAAAATTTTTAATCTCTTTTCCCTTGAACCAACTCCGCGTACATTCCAAGAGGTGATTATAAGTGAGGTCATCATTCAACTAAGGGATGTGGTGATGGCTAGTGTGTGCAGTGTGCGCGTTGTATCATTGTGTGTGTTGTATGCGCCTGTATGTGTGTGTCTATGTGTTCATGTTGTATGCGCCTGCGTGTGTGTGTCTATGTGTTCATGTTGTATGCGCCTGCGTGTGTGTGCTAGCGGTGTGCCCGACTGTTTGTGAATTAAACAGTATGAAAATTGCGCAGCTGATCGATGTGTAAACGGCGGAGGAAGAGCAACATTAACAAAAGAAAGAAACAGTGAAACAAAAACAGAGGAAAATACACAAAACATTATCGGACAGACTAGTCAGATAACCACAGTATAGGCTGTTGAGACGTGCACTGTATTTTATAACTATTAACTTGCCATATGTCACGGAGTAATTAACTGATAGGGGAAAAAATGATCGCATAGTGATACAGTTCACCTGTTGCTGGACTTGGTTCTTAGTAGAGCCAAGGAGTGGTGTCTCGGTCGCGGTACAGCTGGCCATCGACGTAAAGTTTATCCACCGCGATGACAGCCCGTGATCCTTCTCCAATAAGCTTCTTTCTTATCGGGAACAGGACTCTGCGTCGGTCCAGGATCTCCCGGGGAAACTGGTCGTTAACGCTGAAGTTGGTCCCTCTCAGCTCCCTGCCGCGGCCTTTAACCAGTTCCTTCTGCTTGAAGTGTTCAAACTTCGCGACGATGGGCCTGGGCCTCTGGTTCTCCTGTCGCCGTCCTCCCAGGCGGTGCACCCGGTGGAAGCTGATGTTCTTCACGGTCTCGGCCGGGAGCTTCAGTTGATTTTGGATGAAGCTTTTAACGGTCTCCTCTGGGGTTTCATCCACCTGCTCCGGGATACCCGAAATGACCAGATTATCCCGCATACTACGAGCCTGGAGATCGATGATTGCTTCTCTAATGTTTTTATTGTCTGCCGAGAGCCGCGTCATTCCCTCCGTGAGGGATTTAACCGAACCTTTGAGGACCTTGTTTTCTGCCGCGAGCTCAACCACCTGTTTCTGGCTGAACTCCAGGGATTCCCGCAGAGCCTGAAACTCTTTGTGAAGTACTTCCACAAGAGATAATCGGGCATCAAAGCTGGACAATTTCTTGTCTATTGAATCCAGAATCTCTGTAAAATCTGCACCTTGCGAGGAGACTGCTCCAGGTGATGCTCCAGGTGAGTCTTCAGTGCGGTTTCTTTTTGATTTCCCCATGACCACTCGATGAAAACACTGGTCAATATAAACTTCAAGATCCTCCAAACACTCGTCCTCGAGGTCCTCCAGTGCGATTTGACTGCTCTTATTTGTTAATTCGCTTAAAATTGGCGGATTGTTTGTTTAATGAATTGTTTGTTTAGCTGCGCGCTGCCATGTTTGAATTGCACCAAGTCTCACGAGATTACACAAACGCTCACCGTGTCATCTCCTCATAGACATCAGGAGTTTCTGTCTCTAACTGTGAGTGATGATGTTCAAACGGACAATATATCCCAGGATCAATGATCTGTCTACATAATGATGCTTCATTCAACAGTTTCAGGTTTGCTGTCTGACTGCTGTGTTTTTGGTTCATACAGATAATAAATGCTGGGACGACGAGCAATGTGATAGGCAGCTCCCATCTGTCTGTGTCAGAAATGGCTGTTAAACACATGAAGAACGTGTCAAAAACACAAACACTGATCAATTTGTGTTTGTGTCCACCAGTCTCATATTTGACGTGAAGGCTTTATAACTCATACAATGACATCTTTATTTCTTCTCTATCGCTGTAACGCTACTTAAGGAACGAACCGACAAGTGACATAAACAGCAGCTGGATTGTCTCTGTCTCTTTAATACGAGCAGACTGAATGTGTAATGAAAAGAAAGCTTTTAGCACAACTTTATTCTGCAGAGTGAACTGTTTTTTCTTGTCTTACACAAAATAAAAATCTCAAGCATTGAAACAAGCTGGTCTGTGTTATATCTCCTGTTTGTACGGGCACAGTCTTCCTGGATCTCAAAGAGCTTCAGCTATAATACTGTTAAATAATACTGTTCATTGTTGGGAGCTCCTAGAGAAAATGTTCCTCACATACAATCTACTGGATCTTTCTATTCAAAGTTTCCAAAAGTGTCTGACAGCATTTGGTTTAGTTTAACCCTCCAATTGTGTTATGGGCAATGTAAATACAGTAAATGAATAAGGTGTAATTCATCTAAACCACTTAATTTATTCCTCCACACTGGGCATTTTAATATATAAAATTAGTTATTACCACTTTCAATAACTTTTAATTGTTTAATTTTAACTTTACCCGTCTGTGGTGTTTCCAGTAAAAAATGGCCGGGATCAGGAAATGAATGCGTGGGACTATATTATATTCAACCAGCAGATGAAAAACTCCCCTAGACACCACTATACCACACACAGATCTGTTTTTAGATAAATGTTAATTTATAAATAAACTGTCATGAATATTCTTTCTGAATAAAATCACATCATTCAAGTTTAAAAAAAAACATATGTCCCTTACAGCAGCCACCAAATGGGACTATGGGACAAATAAATTTTTTAGATGGTTTCAAAACAGCATCCTGGCTAAACAGATCCCAGTCTGTGATATATTTTCCTCTGGTCTTAACTACAGTCAAAATTTACTGAAAGACTTGAGATATTATTTCAGTTAAATGAGGTCTAAACTCCATAAATTCCAAAAATAAGTCCAGAACTTGTAATAATGACTAGAAATTAAGTTAGTTAAACGCCTCATGTGGCGATAATTTATATTTTGTGTTTAACAGTTTAAGGTTAAGTGTGTAAGTTTTAGTGACATCTAGTGGTGAGAGTTGCAAATTGCTCACTCACAATTTTTCTAGATCACACAAGTAAAAGCAAAAGTCGTTCAGTAAAATACTACTCAAGGAAAAGTAAAAAGGTACCTGGTTTTCAAAGTACTTCAGTATCAACAGTAAAAATACACACATTAAATTCCACTGGTCTTACAAAAAGCAACCCATCTTTTTAAATTCACTCACAACAGGTTTGAATGCAGCAGTGTAAGTTACAGCGGCTCACAATAAGGAAAACTGAGTTGCAAGAGGAAAAGTGGATGTTTCCTCTACCTATACTTTTAGATGTTTATGTTGCAAAACTCTACCGGTTGCATACAACTCTATCATAAACTGGCTGCCACTCACAGCGTGAGAGTGACTTTATTACACAGTGTGTCGCATCACCTGGGTGAAGTGGTTTTTAACGTCAGTAACGATGGTCTCGCGCAGAATGTATTGAAGTACAAAGAAATGGCTTTGAAATGTAGCGCAGTGAAAGTGCAACTTGAAATTCTCAAGTAAAGTTCAAATCCAGATTTTGTTACTTTACTCACTCTTCATTGTTCATTTTCTATGGGAACCAAGCAATTCGCCTTGGAGGGCATTGTGGGATTGCAGGCGACACAGGCAACTTCACTTAATGAGGTCAAGATTTGCATGGAAACGCCATCGTATTTGCAACAAATGAATAGTGACAATGTTTAGACAGTCTTTAACTTACTTGCAGTGGATGAAGATGTATGGAGCAGGAGATCTTTGTTGTACTTTCTGAGATCCTGCTTTTCTATGTCCCTGTCATAGACTGAATAAGAAATCTCCTATTGGTTTGTGGACTAAATCCTGCGTTCTATTGAACAGCCAGCAGGGGGCGACTCTGGTTGCAAAAAGAAGTCCGGGTCCATTAGAAATAATGGTAAAATGAGGCTACTTCTCAGCTGATTTATTACATCAGTAAACACTTTCAGGATGAGTTTATGGTCTCAGTCGCTAGTTTCAAGTCTTCTTCAATACAAAATTATGTTCATTTAGTAAATTATGGTCCCATTTATTTTAAAATAGACCATAAAGTGGGATTATCTATGATTTTGATGAATTTCGCCATCGCCGTTGAAAAAGCTTATTAGGAGTTGGATGTTCACTTCCTCTGGTGAATACATTTAGTTTAAAGACTGTTGTTCACTAGACAAACTTCTCAGCCCAGTTAAAATGACCGTTGACGTGAATTACAGATGCACCTAGCTAAGCAAACTAGCTAGCGCCGCACACGGCCGTTAGCTCCACCGTTGCGTCCAAATATGGTCACTTCCGGGGACTTCCTGGTTGTAAAAAGTCATCATGGCGGCGCCCCATCGGCCAAACTCAAAGCTTCAAAACGGCAGTCCACAAACCAACGGGTGACGTCACGTTGACTACGCCCATTTCTTATAGACAGTCTATGGTGGAACCACACCATATTTGGACTGGTTGTCATCATCTTGGTTTGTGGAACCAGACCGTATTTGGACTAGAGAGGGGAGTATGGGAGGTTATCAGCTAGTAGATGTATAATCCATCCTTAATTCACGCTAACTTTATTTAGTGAGTGAAAATCAGGCAAGAAGCTATGGAAGAGGATTAGGTCCACATGTAAAACATTTATTTAATTGATTATTATTATTTATTTTTCACATAACTCAATTACCTTTTTCACATGTGGCCCTAATCCTCTTCCATATAAAATACAATGCACATACCCAAATAGACAGCCGACTCCAAACACTGAATAAGCCATTCATGGGCAACAATTAAATTGCATTAACCGAAAACACACTGTAAAAGCAAAAGCGAGGGGGGAAAAAACGGCACAGTGTTGCAGTGGTTAGCGCTGTCGCCTCACAGTAAGAAGGTCGTGGGTTCAAACCCTGGTTGCCCTGGTCTTTCTGTGTGGAGTTTGCATGTTCTCCCCGTGTCTGCGTGGGTTCTCTCCGGGTGCTCCGGCTTCCTCCCACCATCCAAAGACATGCAGGCTAGGTTGATTGGTTACCCTACATTGTGCATGAGTGGTTGTTGGCCCTGCGATGGACTGGCAACCTGTCCAGGGTGTACCCCGCCTTGCGCCCAATGTCAGCTGGGATTGGATCCAGCGGCCCTGTACGCAGGATAAGTGGTTGATGATGGATGGAAGTTGTGTTTTGGTACTGTAATCAGCATTGGTTGCTAACTAGTCTCGCCTAGCCAGACAGATCTGTCTAGTTGCTGCCCCTCCAGAAGTTGGACAATCAGAAGAAGATGGGCTTTTAGGAAGGGGGGCCTTAAAGAGACAAGAGTCAATATGGACTAGGGCAATTACAATCTTGAGAAGCTGCAGCCTCTATTCATTCAATTTCTAGCTAAAATGACGATTATTGTTGACCCTTTTCTCTCTCTCCTGCCATTCACTGGTTTTGTGCAGAGTTTTGCGTGCATGCCGTGCTGCCGACAACTGCACGCATGTTGTGGTTCCTCGCGGGTCTATTTCAAGTAGCCGGCCATTTAAAAAAACGATATAATATTCTTTGTGTGGTTCATCTCTCCGTATTAGGGCTGACCCCTAATAGTCGAATCTTCAACTATTAAGGGTCAGCCCTAATACGGACAGAGTGAATAGAAGTGCTGCTGACATGGACAATATGAGAAAATGAATGTTTTTTTAAGGGTCCAAGCCGGAGTGGGGCTGGAAAGTGCGATTACAAGGCATCACGGTTCCCAGTATCAGCGGAGCTGGGAACCCGATTGTAATAGTTCTGATTTTCATAATTATTCTTCTGTACCAAGCTGATAAAAGTTTGTGCTCCTCAGATTGACACTCAAAATAAAAACTTTTGGATTTATAAGCTAACAAATGTTTGCACAAAACGCTAAAACAGGAAGTGATGTCATATCTTAGGTTTGGAATGGCCGATCGACACCAAGCTGCAAAATTTGGTGCAATTTGCCCCCTAGGGGGCTCGATTGAACATGAAATATTCGTTCCTCTATAACCACAAGTCGCATTGACATGAAACTTGAGCCGATTTGTTCAGGACAGTCCCTTGTCTCTAGGGACCAAAGTTGACCCAAACATGCCCATAGGTGGCGCTGTTATTGCAGATTAAAGACGTAAAGAAAATCCGATTGATTTATATGTATTTTATATAACCACAAGTAAGACTGATACCAAATTTGGGTCAGTTGTTCCCCATGTTCCCCTGATGACAGCTGCAAAATCTGGTGAAATTCGGCTTATAGGTGGCGCTATAATCCATGCTCAGATACCGTGGGAAAATCCTATTCATTTCAATGTGAACCAAAGGACATTTCGTCTCATAACTACGCGACAGTACATCGAACAAATGTTATGTCTGTGTTTGGGAGATACTGCTGAATTGCATGGGATAGGACGCGCCTCTGTGCCATCATGTGTTTTTTTTTGTTACATCGCCACAACTGAAAAACATATAATAATATAACTCCTCCGAAACCGCAAGTCTGAGCGGCACCAAACTTGGCACGTATTGATATGCAAAAAACTCAGATTTATAAGCTAACAAATATTTACACCAAACGCTCTAAACAGGAAGTAATGTCTTATCTTAGGTTAGGGATGTCCGATCTACACTAAACTTGGGGAGTTTATGTGGCACGCCTTCCAGTGGGGCTGTATGAAATTTGGTCTCTAGGTGGTGCAGTTAATTGATATGAAATAAAACTTGCTTAGACATAAATTCATTTTATATCTCCGTTTCAAACTCTGGTCATTTATTCACCACGGGCCCCCGAAGCCACGGCAGGGCGCCCAGGTCGACTCGACTTGGACCCCACTTATAACTGCTTGCAGTTCTAGTTTTACCATTAAAGCATGTATGAAAGTAAAAAGAAATGAAGAAAATATGTATGAAGATAAAACTGAGCACAATATGCGTTGGATCCAATTCCATGACAAATACCGAGCAAACATAGCAAATGATGTAACTAATGATAGTTAGTTAAATTCACAAGCTAGAAGTGTCCTAAAAATTCAAATCAGCTGCACTTTCACCAGCTGCAAAATTAAAGTGATAAACACAATAATCATCAACATGGGGCCATTACACTGGCTGTTATTCCCTCTGGTGGCTCTTCATATGTGTTTTCAGACAGTGGCTCTGAGTGAAGGCTTTGTCGCAGACGGTGCACTGGTAAGGTTTCTCGCCGTTGTGGGTCCTCATGTGGACCTTCAGGTATTCTTTGCGAGCACACCCTTTCCCACAAACCCCACAGACAAATGGTTTGATGACTGAATGGGTTGTCAGATGGGCCCTGAGAATGCTCCTTTTGTTAAAGGTTCTTCCACACTCTGAGCATCCGTACGGTCTCTCTCCAGTGTGAATTAACATGTGTCTCTTCAGAGCTCCTTGAGATGACAATCCTTTACCGCATTCGCTGCACATGATCTTCTCCTTGCTGTGTGATTTCAGGTGAACCTTTAACTGACCTCTTGTGGGAAACATTTTGCAGCAAATATCACAGAGGTACGTTTTCTCTCTCTCAGTGTGAATTTTCTCATGTTCCTTTACTATTCCAGGAGTTAAAAACTGCTTCCCACAAACCTGACAGCTGTAACGTTTCTCCCCAGTGTGACCCAACTTGTGTCTGGATAAAGACCGAAGGTCACCGACAGATTTACCGCACACATCGCAGCTGTAAGGCTTCTCACCTGTATGGGTCCTGCTGTGAATCCTCAGCTGTTGTGTAAAAGCAAAAGACTGATTACAGACATCACATTTGTGTGGTTTATCCTCCACATGCTTCCACCGGTGAGTCTTCAAAGTAAAATTATTTGTATACGCTTTATGGCAAACATCACATTTGTATGGTCTCTCTCCTCTGTGAAGAGTAGCATGCCTATTCAGACCAACAACAGTGAGAAAAGACTTTCCACAGACGTCGCAGCGGTGTGTTTTCTGGTGACTTTGAAGGTGACTCCTCAGCTCCTCTACAGACTCTGGATGTTCTCCACACACTCCACAGAGCCTCTGGATCGTCCAAATGACTCCAAGCGTGTTTGATCAACATGTTCATTGACCTACGAAGAGCTTGGCAGACTTTACAGGACAGAGGAGTGTCGCTCTTATCAGTCGACGCCTTCAGAGACGACTGCACCTGTTTCCTTTTCTTTGTAATGACTCCTGAATGTTCGACTTCCCTCGGTTTCGTCATCGTCTTTGATGAGTTCTGTTCAGTGTCACTCTCCCTCAGCTCCTCATCTTTCTTGTCTGGTTTCCATTCTTCATCTCCGTCATCTTCCTCCACCTCATCTTCATCGTCCCTTTCAGCTGCAGAGCGAGCAGAAGAAAGAGCACTAAAGTCATCTGATATTCCATATTCTTTATTTTTCTCTGCTTCCACTTGTTGCCATCTCGAGTTGAACACACGATCTGCTTTGTTGACCTCCACTTTTTCTTGAGGATTGTTGTGGGAACTGAAGGTAGAAAATATAGAGTACCATTATTAAATGTACCTTCATCTTTGTCAGTTTCAAAATGTACTGGGTTATGCTTTGTTGAAATATGAAGTCAAACACTGAACTAAACATTTCAGCATTATTATACAAGAAGAGAAGATAACGTACGTTAGCAGGACAGGGAGGAGTTGATCCTTGATTGCTGTTTAATATGTAAAGTTGTATTTTTGACACCAAGCTCATAAAGATGCTCATTGAATTTTTTGACTCACCTTGCATGTGGCCTGTTTTTATCATTGCTCGTGTCATTGACTGCTTCGTCTTTTCTCTGCAGGGGAATATAACGGTGCAAATGTGAGTCAGTCACTCTTTAACAAAATGGTCTCTGTAAGGGTCCTTTTCATAATGTTGTCAGAACAATCCGAGCTCAGTTGAAAAAACAAGCCCTTTTAGTGGCGATGTACTGTACCAATTCAAAACTGTTTGTACCCATTAGTCACTTAGACACCAAAACACAGTGCTGTGTAAAATTTTTTGCCATTGGATTTGATTAAGATTATCTTCTGTTTATTTACTTTGTATGTTGTTAATTGATAAATATAATTTATTAGGGTTGAGCCGATAGATAATGCCATCGTGGCTGACAGACAATGTTGAGCCGCTATCGGTTATCACGGCAGCTGGTGCGCCGCATGCGGGCTTGTTAATTATGTAGCCTATCAAACAATCAAAACCAACCTCTGCAACTGTGTGTTCACTGTTGCTTTACCTGGTCCGTGCTTGTAAAAATAGCCACCGTGTCCACGTCTTGTAACGGAATTCCAAGTTTTAACCAGTGAACTCAATGTGTGGGGGAAACATGCTTGATTTTTTTCACACCTGCCAAACTTTTGTACAGTAGTGTAAGTAACACTGCCCAGGTTTAATTTGATCTGCACTTTCCAGAGAATATCACAAGACATAAATTGTGTCATATTATGTTCCAGGCCATTGGTAAAATAAGTAGATCTACCTTTGCTCGAATATAAAGTGCTGATCTTCCTTTCCCTATGGATTGGATGGACCTTTGGATCTCCTCTGGTGTCAGCGTGTTTAGTTTCAGAGGCGTCAATGTCCTGGTTGTGTCAGTGGTAAAGACATCAAAGTGTCCGGTCAGCTGAGGGAAGGTGGACCTCAGCAGGTCCAGGAAGTCGTTCTCCTGCAGGCCTCGATCACATCTCAAGTCCTGCACTAGGTGCTTTAACACTAACACACAAACAAATTCATCACAGAGTTCAATGATTGTTTTACAGCCATTCTGATAAAACTGCAAAACATTAGTAGTGGAAACTAGAATCTTGCCGCCCTATTAGGGATGTAACAGTATTCGTCCCAAACTGTTTGGTACAGTAACTTTTGTATGCAGCTTCCTCAGTTCGCCCTCTGACCCAAAGAATAACTGTCATAATAGTTTTTTCATGACAAATAGTCTCACGGATGAAACAGAAATGATAGAGCACAGAACGTTTTGGCAGCGTGTAAGTTTCTGTCTATTAGTCGGCTGTTTATCTACATCAGGGATGTAGTGCTGCTGCCTCTGAATGGCACAGTGGAGAGACAATAGCTGAAGGAAACTCCCATGACATTCAGATCCATTGTAAGAGAGTATTACGTTTTCGTTTTATTACGTTAGTTTCAGCTAGTTAAATGGGGCAACAATTAGTTAAGATGTATGTCTACACTGTTCAGCTTAAATCGGATATGCCTGTGGAAACAAAAATCAAATGTCAAAAATCCATTTTCACAATAAAAAAAGAGAAATCCTGCTTAGAAAAAAACATGCAGCAATAATTGTTTTATAAACACATCAAAGCCCTCTGAAGCGTGATTGAAGGTGTCTAGAGATTCCTAACCCTAACTGACAATATGGCAGCGACGCAACCTTCACTGACCACCAATTTAGTTCTGCCTGCTCCAGATTCCAGCACCAAAGGTAGGTCCCGTGAGGATACCATGATAGGTTTCGTCGCTGGGCTCCTATATGAAGAGGGTCACCAGGGCATGAGACCCCACAGTCTGGTTATCCACTCTAATATGACTGGCAGAAATTGCAGCCACATAGACCCTAAGGGTGGAAGTGAAGTGCTTTTTCTTTAGCAAAGACTGCAAAAAACGCAGTATTATCGGCATAGAGGACTACACCACTCTTGAAAGATCTTCCACCTGTTGGCATAAAGTGCCCTAGTAGAAGGTGCTCTGGAGTTCCTAATGCTTTGGATTACTGCCTGGTCACATGACCCTAGCTGCCTAGACCCATGACCATAGTTGCAGGCGTTCCGGGCTCTGATGCCAGATGTGGCCCCCCAGCTGCGAGAGCAGGCCTCGCCTCCTGGGCAGGCACCATGGGACCCCGTCTAAAAGCTGCACTCTGTGCAAAGTAACCGTTATCAGTGGGAATGGCGGAAAACGCACTTGTTTCCTCCATCAGTGAAAACCAAAGGCAGCACTGGGTTGTGGATTCTGAGGCAAACAGGTGCACCTCTGCTGTGCTATATTTATCTATCTCCTCAGCCAAACTTATAGCATGGAGCTCGAGCACCTTTGTGTGCTCCATCCTTTCCATGGCTCGTCCAGAGACCACTCACCTCAGGCGGGAGATGCCTAAAGAATGCACTAGTTTGCACTAGTAATTTCCACTTTTTTATGGTGGATAAATAACAAGCACATCTTCGAATAACACAGTTCAACTGCAGCACAACTAAACTCAAAACTAACAGAACATGTAGGAAGATTTATGACAGGGCTGTTGTGTTACCTCCAATGCACACCCCCAAAAACAACACACATACATCAAATTGTAGTATTCTCAGCAATCAACATGCTAACTTAACATTTCACTTTCATGTTGGACACTTACCGCCTTTTGTGAGCACAGTGGTCTGGGAGTCCTCTAATAGACAGACTCTGAGGTTAAGATGACTCCGTTTCCTCTTCACACACTGACCTCTGCAAGGAAACAATCAAGTAAAGAAAAACCCCACATACCCAAATATTTTTGTTCCACTCCCAAGGAAACATATTGTGTGGTAACATCATATCATATTTGAACCTTGTATTTGTTATCTGATGATCCGGGTCCCCTAGATCCTCCTCATCTAGACTAGTACTCTGTACTGGCTCCTCAGCAGACTCCTGCCCCCCATCTTCACCCGCCTCTTCCTCAGTGTGGCCTAAGACATCACAGCTCCACGAATCCTCCACATCTGAACAAAAGATTTACAGAAAAAGAGTCAAAATTGAGTTTTTGTTATATAGGATGGATCAACAACAAAATGTGCTTTGTGCAGCTTTTTCTTTGTTAACCTCCAGGAGTAAAGTGTAGAGTGGTGCTTGAAAATGAAGTACAATCAAGTAAAATTACTCAAAGCAGAAAAATGCCCCCTGTGACTGTTATACTATTATATATTTATCATGAGATCATTATTATTAATGTGTTAATGTAAAAGCAGGATTTTACTGTTGAGGTGGAGCTCGTTTTGCACAATTTTGTCAACTAATGACTATTTTCATTATGGATTAATCTGCTGATTATATTCTCTATTAATCGATTGAATGTTTGGTTTGTAAAAATTATGGTATGAGGAGGATTCCAGTCAGGAAGAACCCCAAAGCACAAGAGACCTGCAGCTAACAATGATATGAGTATTCGAAGCTTCGATAGATTATTTGAACGATTCATTGATGCGTCATTTAAGAAGTACTTTTGCTTGGCGGGGGTAGCGGATCGGTGACAGGGACACACACACACGCTAAAAGAGCTGACGGCTGTGTCACCCGACGCTGGACTCCAAACCACATTTTGTCAAGAAAACACGTGAAATGTGAAACGGGAAATGAGCGATTGTTATTATAAAGATGGCGATTATAAAGACAAAGAATCTGGCTGAAAGGATGGATTAGCACACGCAGGTAGCAGGAAACGTCTGAGAGAGAGACAGAGAGAGCTGGAGGTGAGTCAAAAGGTGCAGTTACCTTGGTGGTGGACGGACGGTAACTTTACAGAGTTGT